TTATTAAATAAATTTTTTAAATTTTTTGAGAAATGGAGAGAGAGATAGACTATGAGCAGGGGAGGGGCAGAGAGAGAGTGAGACACAGAATCTGAAACAGGCTCCAGGCTCTGAGCTGTCAGCACAGAGCCCGACGCAGGGCTCAAACTTACAAACCGGGAGATCATGACCTGAGCCCAAGTTGGACACTTAAACGATGAGCCACCCAGGTGCCCCTAATTTTGGTATTATTTAACGATGGGTCACAAGTCATAATGTCCTATCATTTTAGAAAATAACTAACCTCGGATAGTCTTCTTACAATCTTAAAATTTAAGGAGAAATAAGAATTAAGTGGGGGTAATACTTGGAATGGTCTATCAAACCAATTGAATTGACAGAAGTTTGTGAAATAGTCCTGTATGCTCCAGTTCTCTTATATTATATTTTAATATAATTTATTGTCAAGTTAGCTAACATACAGTGTACACAGTGTGCTCTTGGTTTCAGGGATATAGAGTACTGTGATTCATCACTTACATACAACACCCAGTGCTCATCCTAACAGTTGTCCTCCTCAATGCCCATTACCCATTTTTCCTTCTCCCTGCACCTGTCATTAACCCTCAGTTTGTTCTCTGAATTTAAGAGTCTCTTATGGGTTTGCCTCCCTCTCTGTTTGAAACTGTCCCCCATAGTCTTCTGTTAAGTTTCTCAAGTTCCACTTATGAGCGAAAAAATATGATGTCTGTCTTTCTTTGACATATATTTCACTTAGCAAAAAAAAACCCTCCAGTTCCATCCACATTGTTGCAAATGGCAGGATTTCACTGTGTCTTGTTGCCAAGTAGTAGTTCATTGTATATATAAAATCTTCTTTATCCATTTATCAGTTGATGGACATTTGGGCTCTTTCCATGATTTAGACAAATATATTTGAATATTATTTCCATGAATGAAAACTTGTTTATTCAGGAATGGTCAGTTACTTCTTCAGATTGTAAGTCTTCTATAAAAATGCTGTTCAAAAGGCATGTGCTTATTCAACGTGAGACCTGGATGAGTCTCCTTTAGGACTGCCTCTCATGTCATTTACTTTTTGTTT